TTGTTTCTACTGTTTTGCGTTCTTTTGACTTTGAATAAATGTTTAAATGTCCTGTTCTCAGGTATGCACAAGATGACACCACCTATCAAAGACCTGCTTCCACGTTTGACTCCCATCTTGAAGAACAGACACGAGAAGGTGCAGGAGAACTGTATTGATCTAGTGGGCAGAATCGCTGACAGGTCAGTCCTATAGGTCTCCACAGAATTTAAGCCGTTAAACTTTTGAAAAATGTCAATAATGCCTCCTAAACGCATCTTATCCATTCCAGGGGTGCGGAGTACGTGTCTGCCAGGGAATGGATGCGTATCTGTTTTGAATTATTGGAGTTGTTGAAAGCCCACAAGAAGGCCATCCGTAGAGCAACTGTCAACACTTTTGGCTACATCGCCAAGGCCATTGGGTAAAATCCTTCTCTGATAATGCAGAATTTGTCATTAGAGGTATGAAAATGTTGGATTTTAATTTGTCCTGTTCTTAATTTTCTAGTCCTCATGATGTGCTGGCCACGCTGCTCAACAATCTGAAGGTGCAGGAGCGTCAGAACCGTGTGTGCACAACAGTAGCCATCGCTATCGTGGCTGAGACGTGTTCGCCATTCACCGTGCTTCCTGCATTGATGAATGAGTACCGTGTTCCTGAGCTTAATGTTCAGAACGGTGTCTTAAAGTCTCTGTCTTTCCTGTTTGAGTACATTGGTGAAATGGGCAAAGATTATATCTATGCTGTCACACCTCTGTTGGAGGATGCTCTGATGGATAGGTAAGGAAGTAGATTATTTCTTTTCACAAGACAGTTGCATGCAGATTGTTCTCAATAGTACTCTAACCTCCTGTATTTCTGCTCTCGGTCGCAGGGATCTCGTACACAGGCAAACAGCCAGTGCTGTGGTGCAGCATATGTCTCTGGGAGTGTATGGCTTTGGCTGTGAAGATTCTCTCAATCATTTGCTCAACTATGTTTGGCCCAATGTCTTCGAAACGTCTCCCCATGTCATCCAAGCTGTAATGGGGGCCCTCGAAGGTCTGCGGGTGGCGATTGGACCCTGCCGCATGCTCCAGTATTGCTTACAGGTACGTTTCACTTCCAACATTGGTCAACTTTGGTTGTTGTAAAGTGCTTAACAAATAAAGTTGGTATGGTATGGTATGGTAACATGGAATCTGCTCATTTGTTTGGTATTTATGTAATCGTTTTTCCATTGAGTTATGAAGACTTGCCTAATAGCGCAATGCTTTTTCTCCCTCAATAGGGTTTGTTCCATCCTGCTCGTAAAGTGCGTGACGTATACTGGAAGATCTACAACTCCATCTATATCGGCTCCCAGGACGCACTGATCGCACATTATCCTCTTGTCTTCAACGATGAGAAGAACTCGTTCGTTCGCTATGAGCTGGATTACTTCCTGTGAATATGTCTACCCTTACATGTGCACTCTCTGTCTCTCTCCTCCTATATCTGTCTATTTCATGGTTTATAGGACTTGGTCCATTTTTTATGTTCTCTGGTAGATTGAAACCAGTACCACAGATTACGTGGTCTAAAATTTATTTCTTATTAAAGAACAGAAAAATGTTGAAAAAAAGAATCTGTCAAACGTGTCGCTTTTAGATCTTTGGATTAGACGTTTCTGTTTTTACGGCGTGGCACCAAGCACAGTGACAGTAAACGTAGTAGCAGAGTTTCTGAGGAATGTGATTCATGTCTTTTAACTTGAGACTTGTGCTTGTCTGTCAAGTTCATTCTTGCTCAGTCACATCTGTTCTTATTATAATGTTGCTTAGTTTGGCTGAATAAACGTTTGTGTATTAAAAGTGATTGAGCTCCTCTGTGATGTTTTTAATGGGTTAGCGCAACCAAATTCAATCTTGATTTGATTGTTTTTTGTTTAAAAATCCTTTCAAATGTTGTCTGAACAAACTAAGTTTCATCACCTGCCAAATTTCCAACTGGGAAAGTCATTACTAACATTTGAATTTGAAAATCAAATCAGATTGGACTGCAGTGTGAACAAAGACCTTTGATCAAGGAATATTTCTAGCTTTTACCTGTAGCGAAATGCTTATCGCAAGACATTTTAAACCTAAATCATGTTTAATAAAAGCTTACCATATTTTGATTTTTTTTTTTTTTGTACAATATTTATTTTCCCATTTCCTTGTGGAAGGATCTTGGTTAAACGCATCAGTTATATGAGGTTTTGTTTGATTATTTCCCATATTCTAACTTAGACATAACAGCAGACATGGAGAGAAGACATGGCTCTGCACAAACATGAGGGTCCTGGAGTTTCTCTGTCTGAAACAATGTGAGGATATACTCGAGTAGAGAATTTCAGACATTATCGGTTTTATATCCACCCTTTTTGATAACATCTGCTCTTTTCCATGAAATTGTAAACAATCGGGTTTATCATGGACTGCACTATATGATTGAGCTGATCTTGACTGAAAATATTCTTTAACCCTTTTCTTGAACAATGGTCCTTGGCTGCTAAGTTAAAATAAAAGATTGATTTGGATCAAAAACTTATGTCTTTGCCTGGAAGACTGCATGTTCATTCCAAACTAAGCTTTCATTAAATATTGCAATGTTTTAGGAAATAATTTAATTTCACTCCATCCTCCTGTGTAAATGCGTTTCTACACAAGCAACAGCTACTTCCTGTGCTCTCCTGACCTGTCAGGCCAAACTCTCATGCCTCTTTAAATATAGCCTCTGTATCAGTCAGTAACACATGGAGTCTGTTAGGTGATGTCATCCAGCAGAGCACAAACAAACACTGATATTTGCTTCCAGTGACATTGTGGGCAAGTTCCTGTTTTTCGTTCCTTGAAGAATGTAGTGCTCATTTATTAACTGCACAGGTAACGAGACAAACAGAACAGAATCAAAACAAAAAGTTTTAAATTATTATCACACAAGTGTTCAGCTTTTAAGTGTATATCAAAAGGTTCAATGAAAATTACAAACTTCCTGAAAGTCAGGCACCTTAAAATGTAATTTGTGTTTTTAATCACTAACAACAAATTGAATTTCATATATTTATTATTATTATTATTTCTTTAATCAACAGTCAAACACTGTAAATAAGCCAGAGTTAGCCCCACAGGCTAATTTTCATCTGTTGCCCCTTGCCAGATTTTAAAAAGGCAACCTAAAATTTAAACATTGACAAAATGCAATATGTTATCAGATATACAAATCCAAATTACCCATATTAAGAAACATGTATCACAAAAAAATAGACAAAATATCAAATTACATACAGTAACACTGCTAGGGATAATGGCAGTAACATAAAAATAAAAATAATTGACATTATTTAAATTTTGATTTGCTTTTAGCCATTTCTTTAATTTAAATTTAAATGTTGAATAGTTAACTGAGCTGGTAGAGTATTCCAATAATGAATGGCTCTAAGTCTAACTGAAAAGACTGATCGTCCGAAAGTTGTGCGCCAAAACTGTACAACACAGTCTCCTAGTAATTGCTCTGCCATATCCTTTTGCATTATAAACTGACTTAATGGGGAGGTGCATTACCATTTAAAATTTTAAAAATCAAGCAAGCATCAACAAAATGTTTAATCGAAACTTAATAAATTATATGTTTGCACTATGTTGCAATGATGAAAACTATTAGTCCTCCTATCAAATGTTCTAAGTGTCTGTAAAGAGATTCAATTGATTTTAAAATAGTTGTGCTTGCTTGAGACCAACTAGTAAAGCAATATGTAATATGAGAAAATACCATAGAATGCATAAAAAGTTTTGCTGCCTCCGTTGTTAAATATGGTCTTATATGCCTAAAGTTGGCCAAATTAAATTTATTAATATTGGCTACCTTTTTAGCATGCTTTTGAAAAGACAGCTGAGAATCTAAAATTACACCTAAATATTTAAAATCAGGAATGACATTAAGCTTTTCTCCTTTAACAAATACATCAGGATGAGGAACCACTGTACATCTTTGTGAAAAGAACATATATTCAAATGTAAATATGAATTACTACCAATCAGAAACATGGACCAATGCCTCAGTTAAATAATTTGCTGTGTGCACACAAAGAACTGTCATCAGCATACATTTGAATATGAACAGATGGACAGACTAAAGGCAGGTCATTATATAAACTGAACAGGATAGGGCCCAAAATTGATCCTTGAGGAACTCCAATATTACAGTTTAGATATGTTGATTAACTATTACCAACACGGACACTTTCCCTCCTATTTGAAAAGTATCATCTATTTAATAGCTTCAACAGAAAAGTTAAAAAGTGTGAACTTTAAAAGGAGTACCTCATGGTTCACAGTATCAATGAATCAAATGTTATTGAAAAAGTGTTATTTATTTATTAAACAAATGTTATTATAACAGGTCCATACCATACCATTCTTATCTGAGTTATAAAACATCCATATTCACTCAAACAGATGAGAATGAGATAGATAGCTGTATTCTATGCGTAGATAGATGAAACCAGAGGACTTTGCTTTGAGAACTGATTCATTTTAGCAAATCGGTTCGTTCGGACAGTTCAGGCTCACTAAAACGATTCACATATACGTTGGAGTCATCACTCACTGTGATCGAATCATTAAAAAACAGATTCACTAGAATGATTCATTCGTTCGTCAGAGCGAGGGCATCAGTGATGCGATGATGATGATGATGATGATGGCCCCTCGGAAGAACTGACAATCCTGTGCCTCAGATACAGAGGAGAAACGAAATTACAAAACCTACTATGGTGACGGAATAGTTCATGAATATTAATCAGATTTGGTGACGTTACTTCCTACTTTCCCTGAAGCATCCAGTCACATATCTTAATTAATATTCATGAAACAGTAGTTAATTCAGAAGTCCGATGTAGGATGTGTTAATTGGCCATCTCAACAGCGCCCACTTTGCCTCTCAGCCAATCTGTTACCAATGTCGGTACTTTATTAATATTCATAAGTCAGGACTTTGCCATAGTAGGATCTCGAAAATAGCAAGGGGAAGCATACAAAAAACGCTGACTTCCTGTATTTTCTTAAAACGAATGAATACATAACGCAGAACATAAGCGAGTGGGATATAATATCTGAAATCGTTATTGCTGTTGTTGCCACTGCTGTAAATGCGGATTGTTTACAGCAGACCTCGCATCCTTTCCTCCCTCCCCTTTTCCTCTTTTCCGGAGCGCCGGAGCGCTGGTGGAGAGGCAGCGGCCACAGCTGCTCCCGCTGACCGAAGATAGCGCCTGCAGACCCGGCCACGGCCGTCACATCACCCCGGGCCCCTGGAGGGTGCGATCCACAGCAAAAGCAGGAAGCAAGCTTTTGATGCCACATCATTGTGCAGCAGCACCATCCTCTCGTGAAAAAAGCGAACAGGCTCGTCTGGATTTGATTATTCGTCACCTCTAGGTCTTTTCAGGAGTTTGGATGTGCTGTTTCACATGATATGGCTGTTCTTAAACTAGTCGACCAGGTAATTGCACAATGTTTTTTGAATTAACTATATATTTTTGATTGCAAAATGACCTGTTCAATTGGAGGATGTCATGTATCTTATCTAAGTGAGGGGTTTGCACATGATGAAATGTAATTTTCAATTAATGCATAAAATACATCATGTGATGCTCCATATGCTTGCTACAGAAACTGTAGGATGCATGTGCAGCACATGCATTGCGTGAGCCATATAAAAAAGGATTTTGACAATTTGCTAAAACGACATTATTCTTGTTGGAAGATTAAGGTCTTCCTTGAAAGTAATAAACGGTAACATCCTGAGCAATTCGTTGTTCACATTTATTGCATAACCTGTGTAAGGAAAATGATCTGCTTTCATCTAGAGAGAACAAACTTCCTGCTGTAGTGTGCTGTGATGCTGATGTTGAAATGGCTCTTAAATCTAATCTGCTCACCGATCCAGGTTTTGAGAAAAAAAAAAAAAATCATTATCATTATCAGCACACCTAGTCAGTTTTCTGTTTTAACTAGTGTAAGTTGAATACCAATATATGGTTGAGCTCCACCCAGTTAAAGCTCAGATAGTCAAGTTCCTTTTTGTCATTAATATCATTGTTCACTGGATCTTTTGTTGTGATAGTAGCAGTAATTTAGGTTCCAACAATGCTTTGTGTTTGCAGCCTAGTTAGTAAAAGACTGAATTCATTGTCATCTGATTTTTATCTGTGATATGTTGAATACTGCTGCTATATTTATGTAAGCTATATTACACACTTGGAATTACATGTTACATATTTTGAGACTAGTCACCTCCACTAATTGTTTGTTAGTTTTTCATGTGTCATTTGGTGGGCAAAAAAGTGAGAAGGTTTAGTTTTTGTGTAGAGTAGATCTATTTCCCTAACGGTCATGTGATGCCCTTATATCTAGACACTTGCAAATGTTCTAGGAGGTTGTCCTTGCAACAAGTAAGTTGATGGCTTTTAGGGGCCCCATGGACTTCATGTCAAGGTCAAGAAGATTTTTCAGCTGTGAGAATGTAGAGACTTAATCTAAGTGTGCACTAAATCTTTGCACACTACACGGTTAAAAGAATGTTTCGGATTCAAACAAGTTAATCTATCGACAGCTTCATGTTGTTGATTGCCACAGAAAATAACACCAACTTGACTTGTCATTCAATTTGTAATACAAACAAAAATTGTGTGTACAGTAATGCATTTACAAAAAGGGTATGAGATTCCAGAGGGTTTAAAAGCAGAAGTGTTGGGATCATATTTTTGATACAGCACTTTAATTAATTTGTACGTACATGTTCATATTTGAGCTGTATTCTTTTTTTTTTTTTTTTTTACAAAATGTAATCTTTTACAAAATGCAGTTGAGATATTAATTGTTGTATTTTTTTTACATTCACTTTATTGACAATTTTGCTTTCTCAAGACTAGTAAAAAATCATGGCATTAATTGCAGTAATTTTATACATTTAATTTTGACTTTTTCTCAGTCGAAATATTTTTTGAAAATAAATAAAATATTTGTGGAAAAAAGTTATGTGCTAATTGCAGATATGTACTTATTTACAAGCTTAATAACAAGTAATTATTTTCCAGAAAATATTTGAATAGTTTGTTCTATAATGATGATTTAAAGGCCAACTGTTTAATTTTAGAAACAATTATTTAATTTAGTTGTCTTCATAATATTACATTTAGTATTTTCCTCACACTGTAAATTGATTTTTATACATAAACATATACAGTTGCCTTTATATTTGTCAATGTGTTCCCTTTACAAGGGTATCATTGTACTTTGGGGGTCCTTAGTATGAAAAAGTTTGAAAACTCTTGGCCTAAATCAATCTTTAGTGGTGGTACTAGTGTTTTAGGTGGATGAACTTTGGTGTACTTCCGTTTATGCTTAAATAAAGCGTAAATGTAGGTATGGGAATAATTTAGATTTTTTTCTGTGTCATGACAGGAGTTGATAATTAAATTAATAATTAGTAAATTCATAAATTGATAAACAAAAAGATTGGATAATACTTTTAACACATTTAGATTTGACATAGATTTTATTTAGCAGACATTTTAACCAAAGAGGCTTACAAATGAGGAACATCTCAAGTGTATAATGTTGTAAAGTTGTTTAAGTCTTGTGGCAATAAAAACTGTATTTTAACGTTTATTCTGGCACAGTGCCTTTCCCCTTAGACTTCTGCATTAAAGTGCATGAATATAAACGCATGTCTTGTTTGTTTTTACAGACTTAGACACAAGTTTAAATAATTTTTTGTGTGGTAATTGACACCATGCCCTAGAAAGTTTAACTTGCATTAAACCCATGACATTTATTTAGAAAGTTAATATGTGACACCAAGTGTTCGGAGCGTCAGTAATGTTTACAGTCATTTTGGTCTTGTGTACAGTTTGATTTCCATACTTTGCCCCAAAGAGGAAAGAAACAGGAAGTTGTTGAATCTCAACATTCCCCTCTCATGTTTTTTTTGTAGTCTCAGAGGGTTACATGACACAAGTTCAGAGAGCCAGAGAGAGAGGAAATAGAGGATAGTGTGTTTACTGCTTATACATCATCAGTGCTTAAGACTTTTGATGGTTCTGTTATGCTCTTCATGACATACATTGGTTTTTGACTTTTACACTTTATTGTGACGTACATCTAAGTGTTGTACATCTGAGTTTGCAGTCAATTGTAAGAAAGACTAAATGATTGGAGAAGTATAGCATATATGTCACCAAAAAGAAGTCTGTTGTTTCACTGGAAGATCAAGTTTGATAAAAAATTACAAGGTCAAAAAAACATTAAAAAAATAAATTAAACCTATGCATGGAGGAATTGTTCATAGATAGATTGAGTGAATTTCCATTTCATGCTGTGACTACACATCTGGGAAAAAACGCTGTCACAAGGAACTAGATTTCAGTATCGCAGTTCATTTAAAATGAGACATCAGCAGTTCCTCATTTCTGCTGTTTTGAAGAAGAACCTGCAGTGTCAAAAGTGGAGAAACCTCAGCCTTCATTTGGGTAAGAAGGAAATTTAGCTCACTTCTATTGGGCGCAGAGGTAGATGATGGGAACGAGGAGTTGGGGGAAGGCCGTGTAGCCAAATGCATGTCAACAATGGCTTCAGTGTTGGAGCGTTTGGCTTTGGCATGGAGTGGTGCTGGGAGGTCGGGGAATGTCCTCATTTGTGATGAGCCCCGTCCAGATTGTGCGCTTGTGCCAGAGCTCAGCAATCTCGTCCTGAAGCTTTGCGGTGCCACAACACAGACAGCACTGTTGTCACCAGCTGTTGTGTTCTCTTTCAAGGGAGAGACGAGATGTGTGCTTGTGTATGCGATCAAGACAGAGGCAACATCTCATAGTGAAGAGAATTCAACATTGTGTTCTCATAGATTCAATGCTCTCATAAAAGAGCTCAATAAGGATGGCCCGGTGCCAGCGTGAGAGAGTTTGGGCCAGTGCTGTGTTGTAAAACTTACATTTGTTGATCTTGGGGATGTGTTTTTATGCCTTGCAAACTTAAATATTTTGTTTTTCGAATTCTGCTGATTGAAATGTCACCAAGAGAAGAAATTTTGGGGGTTCAATGGTGGTCTAATTATTAATGGGGATGGTTCTTTATATGATATCCTCTTAGAAAATACATTTGCTCATATTTTGCTCTTTCATCGCTCAGGAGATGTTTCAGCTTGGTCTCAGATAAAAAAATTTGGGAGGAATGAAAATAGAAACTGAATTGATACAAATGGTTAACTTGCAGTAAATGTGAGACATAACACATTTATTGTTATTTGGACAATTTTCACAGGCGATATAGTGTATATCACCTTTGAAAATTGTATATATGTATAATACACACACACACACACACACACACATATATATATATATATATATTATAAGATTCATGAAAAGAAAAATGCATGAAATTGTTCCTTTGTAAATTTGTGCCTTTGGTTTTTTAGAGAGCTGAGTAACTTGAAATGACTAACAGAAATGACTGATGGCTTGTGGCGAATTGGCCCTGCAGAGATCTTTTTTTTTTTTATGGATGATGAAATGAGTTTGAAGTGAGTGGGTGTTAGATGGCCTGTTTTTGCTGCTGAAAATAGAGCAGATCTCAACAACACATCTCCTGTTGTCTCTACACTGAGAGTTTGTTTGCATGCGTGTATGATAAATAAAAATTCAAAGAGTGAAAGAAGCTTTTTGTTAGAAACATATTTTGACATGCCTGAAAAAATGTATTAATATTTTTCTTTACAAAAAGCCATATTGTAACTCCATCACAGCTATCAGTTCATAGGGTTTGCAATGTATGCTGATATACTGATAAGAGATTAAAAGTTGACACAATCCTCATCCTTAGTGTTGAGCCCTGAAACACCCTGTGTGTTAATTTGCATGTTGGCTTGACTGCATGTGTTCTGTTGTATAGCGGAAGTGAAAATGCTTTCCACGCTTCCTCTGTGTCACTTCTGAGAAGGTGAAAAAAAAGCAACAGGAAGTGAGATGTGGGGGTTATTGCAGATAGATTAGAGACACTGGAAGTCTAGATGCAGCCAAGTTTGGCTCAAACCACCTCTCCTCTCTTATCCCACGCATGCGTCAGATTATCATGCTTTTCATTGTGCTGGCATTAATGTTTGGAACTTGGCACTTGAATTCAAGAAAATAGCTGGAAAATACAGTTTATAAATATATTTGGGTTCAGTTTAGTCTTTAGTCTCTCTTCATAAACAAGGATTGAATGATAATTATGTAAAGGAAACATGACTTAAATTCAGTGTGTGGTGCACAGCTTCCTTGGGGCTCTTTGGGTCCTGATTTGGCCTCCCTGTAATGACGCTATTTTATGGAAATGGTGAGACTGTGTGGTTTCAAAGCCTACTTGTCTGGTTAGCGAGTTGTGCTGAGAAACGGATTTGAAGACCATAATTTTAACTGATTCTGAATGACAAACTTTTAAGTTATTTCAAACATTGGGTTTGTGTAAAAAACACAAAATAATCTAGATTACCACTTTTTCTTGAAAAAATGCAACACTTACCATTGCGTAACCTGCTGCCACAATGTAATGGTGGTTGCAAGGTTGTTGCTGTATGATGCGAAGCAGTTCTGAGTGGTTTTTAGTGTGTTCCTATGTGGTTGCTGGGGCATTAGTAGGCGGTGTCCTTGGGTGTTATGGGTGGTTTCTAGCATTTAGGATTTGTTTAAATTTGTAACCATAAATGTGCAGTCAGAAGGATGGTCAGTCTATCGTCAGGACTAGTGTCGCAATTTAGGAATCGTCTATCGTATATCTATAGTCAGTAGTATAGCAACCAAGTTAATTTCAAACCAATGCTTCATGATTTTATTCTTTAATAACATCATGTTTAAATAATCTCTTATTTTTCACAGCCACCCCTCGTCCAAGCCATCTTTAATGGAGACCCCGATGAGATTCGTATGCTCATATGTAAATCTGAAGACATCAATGCACTGGTATGAATCAGTTTCTTCTATTCTTCTTCTCACATGACTATATCTCATCTCTTTGTTCCCTGCTGCACAATAGCTGAGAAACCCCATGGAAAACAGCCAGAGATTTATATACATTTGTCTCAGTAAAGGCAACAGGACACAAAACAGTTTTCAAGGCCATTCTTCTTCCAGAATATTTATTTATTCTGCTTGTCTGTCTGTGTCCGCCCTAATGGTTCCAGCAAGAATTAGCTCGCCGTCCGAAAGTTTTTTTAAAGAGCCGCTGGACCAAAGTCATGATTTTAGGCTGCATGTGCAAACAGGTTCAGACAATACACACGTTGAGATGTCACCACCACAAGTGTGTGAGCACATTAGTACACACTGACATCCCCTTTAGTGATTGAAGAGAGCCAGTCAATGCTTCTTTGTTGTGGATCCCTTGCATTGACCCCTCAGTCAGCATATTCATTTTAGAAGTGATCAAGTCTATGCCCAATTTTCTGTGAAAGCTTTGCAGTCCACAATGGGACTTTTGAAAATGTACAATATTTTGAGCGGAATGTACTGTATAGGTCACATGAGTCTGGTTAGTATGACTCAGTCTTTCTAGGGTTGATGTAGATTTCCAATTGAAACAGGAAGTTAGGGTAAGACACATAGAATGGCTCATCCTTTTTTTTAATTAGCCAGTAGCTTTTTGTTTATGCCACAGCTTGCAAAATATGATGTGTTGCTTGCTCTTGCTATGTGGTTATAAATGGTATTAGAGGGATATTTTGTCCATTTTATTGGACACAAAAAAAATATACACCTCTAAGCGCAAGATACAGTGCCATTTAAACCAGGGGTGTCAAACTTAGTTCCTGGAGTTTAGGCCCAACCCTAATTAAACACACATGGACCAGCTAATCAAGGTCTTCAGGATTACTAGAAACCAGTAAATAAAAACAGTAAAGATAGTAAAGACAGTAAAGACATATATGATGCCTTAAAAATAGATAAAAGAGAAAGAAGTGTTCTTTTGAACTTTTCATTTCATTCATTAAAAAATCCATTCATTAAAGTAGCACAACTGTTTTCAAAAACTATTTTAATAATAATAATAATAATGAAAAATAATAAGATATGTTTCTTGAGCACACAATCAATGATTTCTGAAGGATCATGTGACACTGAATACTGTAGTAATGGCTGCTGAAAATTCATCTTTGCCCTCACAGGAATAAATTAGTTTAAAATATATTAAAACAGTAATTTTAAATTGTAATAATCTCTCACAATATTACTTTTTTTTTACTTTATTTTTGATCGGATAAATGCAGCTTTGGTGATCATTGGACATAAGAGACTTCTTTCAAAAACATAAAAATATTGTACAGACCCCAAACTTTTGAACATCAGTCATGAATATTTATTACTGGTAGAGGAAGACTGTAATTTCTAAATGTGTATCAACTTTTGAGAATACACTAGCATATAGAGAGGTTCAAAGCTTACAGACATGTAGTAAAAGTAACAAAACTTTGATTTGATTTGATTTTTAACATTATCTTCCCACTTTCTTTTTCGATGTGTCTCACTCTGTTTTCATTTGTTTGTTTTTTAATCTCTCTCAGGACCCTGATAAGCGTGCTCCCCTTCATGCAGCAGCCTTCCTCGGAGATGCTGAGATCACAGATCTCCTCATTGTGTCAGGTAGAGCTGCTCTTTTTCTCTCTCCCTCCTTTCATTCCCCACCTCCCTTCCATTGTAGCTTTACAGCATCTCATATAAAATAAGTGCATGTTCAAAACCAATAAAGAATAGTTTACCCAAAAGTAAAAATTCTCTCATCAATTACTTACACCTTTCCAAACCTGTGTCTTGTATTACTATTGTATGTGTAAATGATGACAGAATTGAAATATTTGGGGGGACTGTTCCTAAATCCAGCGAATCTTTGTATTTATTGTAGTTATTATTGTTTAATGTGTCTTGTACTACTTCATTTTAGGGGCTCGGGTCAATGCCAAAGACAACATGTGGTTGACTCCACTCCACAGGGCAGTGGCATCACGTAGCGAGGTGGGCTTAGTTTTTTCCAACCCTGGATGCTGATTGTTCAAAATACTTCTACAGCTGTGCTAAAGTTCACAATATAGTTACAGTTGTCGTCAATCGTTTTCTTTTGTACAAATCTAGGAGGCCGTTCGCGTGTTGATCCGTCATTCTGCCGATGTTAATGCACGGGACAAGAACTGGCAGACTCCGCTGCATGTCGCATCCGCCAACAAGGCCCTGCGCTGTGCTGAAGTCATCATCCCGCTCCTGAGCAGCGTCAATGTTTCAGATCGCGGGGGACGCACCGCCCTACACCACGCTGCCCTCAATGGACACACGGAGGTATTGCAAGTCGAGACTAAATATTTTTGCTTGATTCATAGCAATACAGAATTAGATCATATTTTATTTTGGTACAGTTTAACGCAATAAGTGTTGCAAGTCCAAAGGACTGAGGCAGTGACGCTCCAAGTGGGCAATTGACTTTTAGATACAAAGTCACTTGCCCGCCCTTATAAAAAATAAGTATACTTCAAGTTCATTTTATTAAGTATACTTAAGTAAAGCTTAAGTATATTTAAAGTATACTTTATGTATTAAATATACTAATATCAATGTACTAAAAGTATACTTGTAAATGTACTACTTCAATACTACTTGGGACTAAATTGGCCCACTTTTTAGTGTATAAAAGTATACTTTTAAGTATACTTTAAGTGTAACAGTAGTAAACTTTGAGTACACAACTAGTTTACAACTAAGTTTTTCAATTATACTGCTAATATACTACAAATGAACATATAGGTAATGGTATACTGATAGTTTACTATTCATATACGTGTTGCACATTTTTAGTTTATGAATGTACATGCTGAAGTATACTCCAAGTTACTTCAGTAAACTGCAAGTTTAATAGTTTTATACTGCAAATATGCTTGCAAGTTTTCTTTAAGTGAAAATAACATCGTACTTATAGTTTACTATTGTATATATTCTTGCACTTTAAGTATAGTACTATGTTCCTAAATAGGTATCCTATTTGGGTGTTTAATGTTTGATGATCGCGTTTGAGGATTTTCGTAGGCTACTCAATCAAAAGAGTAAACACAACTACAAACAATACTTACAAGCATATCTCGATCCAAATATTGGGTACAAGAACTGGCCAAATACTTAGTATAAGTCAAGTATACTTAAGTGGAATTTTAAGTATATTACTGAGAAGTACATCAAGTATATTTCTGAGAAGTACATAAAAAGTAGACCGAAATTATTACTAATAGCACACTAATAATAAAAAAAAAAATCGTAAGGGTGCTGCTAAATACTTCCCACACTGCATTGTCAACACAGAGTGAAATTTCTTGAGCTCTCAACAATGCAGAATGGTTTAGAAAGTCATTATATGAATTGTGACACAAACACGCAGCACACAATAAGAGCTTCAGGAGACCCATAATTACTGGTGCATTATTGGCTCATGCTTTATGCATTCTCTCCTCCATTTCTCCATCTCAATCTTGTCACTGTTAGTCAATTTCCTTTCTCTCTATCTTCAGATGGTTAGCCTTCTCCTGGCCAAGGGTGCCAACATCAACGCCTTTGATAAGAAAGACTGCCGTGCACTGCACTGGGCAGCATATATGGGTGAGGGAACGGTCCTATAAAAACTGTGACATGTATGCCCTTGTTTTCTTTTGTTTTCATTGGGACACAAAAGGAGTTGTTCATGCTGCTCTCTTCCATTCAAATGTGAAAAATAGTTACGAGGGGGCTGATAAGCTCCAAAAAGGGCATTAAATCACCACTCAAGTAGTCCATGCTACTTTCATACCAACTCTACAATAATAGTGTAATTGTTGTTAGAATGCAGTTAGAATGACAATTTTTTTTAAACTTAGAGGTCTCCAAACATACACAGCAGCCTTTCGTTACTGAACAAATCATTTAAGTGAATAACCCATTCATAAAGACACTTGTTTCATAAGTCTAATTGTCGTTATTAACAAAAAAAAACCAAAAATATTGAGATATCATTACTAGTCAGTATCGCACACCCAAAAATGCTAATTAATTATACATGTGCAATATTCCAAGTCTTCAAAAAGAAATTAGCACTTGCGGACATTCATAGTGGTCTTCCCTCAAACAATGGCATTGCTTCTGAAGACTTATATTATGTTGTGCACAAGTCGTATGGACTAGTTTATAGAGCTTTTATGGTGTTTTTTGTCCGTTTCCGAGTTTGACAGACCTTAGTCACTTTCTGATTTTGTTTTATGGAAAGAAGTCAACATTCTGGAAAACATCTCCTTCTGTGTTCCACAGAATCGGGTTTGAAATGACATGATGGAGAGTAACTAATAACAGATTTTTCTTTTTTGGGTGAACTATGTTTAATCTGCTATATCTGTGTTTATGTGTTCATGAGCTCCTCTCTATACTCTTGCAGGTCACTTAGATGTAGTGTGTTTATTGGTGAGTCAAGGGGCCGAGATCAGCTGCAAGGACAAGAGGGGATACACACCTCTACATGCTGCTGCTTCCAACGGTCAGATCGCTGTGGTGAAACATCTGCTTAGCCTGGCTGTAGAGGTACTTAGGATGCAAATAGATACATATAGGGAAGAGAGTATGGGGTCATTGGACTGACCATTACATTGTATGCTTCACTCGTAGATAGATGAAGCCAATGCCTTTGGGAACACAGCTCTGCATGTGGCGTGTTTTAATGGGCAGGACGCAGTGGTCAGCGAGCTGATCGACTATGGTGCGAATGTTTGTCAGCCAAATAACAAGGGCTTCACACCTCTCCACTTTGCTGCTGCATCCACCCATGGTGCCCTGTGTCTGGAGTTCCTGGTCAACAGTGGAGCTGATGTCAACGTCCAGGTATGCCCAACTTGGACTAAATATAGACAGACCGTCCAAATCCTGTGTCCTGTATGCTAATAAACATTTTGTGATGTTTCCTCAGAGTCGAGATGGGAAAAGCCCTCTTCATCTGACGGCAGTGCACGGACGATTCACACGCTCCCAGACGCTCATCCAAAACGGTAAAGTTGTTTTTAGCCGGCTGAAGGACCATTCACACAGAATGCGTTTTTGCAGTTAAAATGAGAGACACATGTCAGTGGTAAAAAGGCAAGGTCTAGAGACACGTTTTTTTAAAATATGAACTTCTTTTAACTTGAGCACCTCATTTTTAGAATGCCATGTCATGCACAAGAATCTGCAAAAAAAATGCAAGACAAGTTCAGCGGCCAAACACGTCTGTCTACCATGTGTTTACATAGAAAAAGAATGGAAAATTAGCTCAGTGGAATGGAAAACATGTTCTGTGTACGGCCCCTAAAATGTCTGAATCTAAACTGCATTTGATTTTGATATCCACTGATTTGCAGGTACATTGTGAGTACAATTGTGTTTTTGATACAGGTGGAGAGATTGACTGTGTTGATAAGGATGGAAACACTCCGCTGCACGTTGCTGCTCGATACGGCCATGAACTTTTAATAAACACTCTAATCACGAGTGGAGCTGACTGCACCAGGTTTGACTGCATTTGGATCTTTGTTAAAAATATTGGTAAAGCATCATAACTTGTTGTTTCTGATAGACTATTTCGTTCTCCCCTATATTCTTCTGCAGAAGAGGGGTTCACGGCATGTTCCCCTTGCATCTGGCCGCTCTGAATGCTCATGCCGACTGCTGCCGGAAACTCCTCTCCTCAGGTACTAACTATGCCACCAAATCACACTAGTTGCACTGCATTAAAATACAATGTAACAATGTAAACCTAGCGGAAACCATGTGCATGTGATGTACACATTAAGCTCAAGCAGAAAATGCAAGTTTGAATCTGACTGGACATTTCCTGATCCCATTCCTTTTACTTCTCCCCATTATTTCCTGTTCTTTCTATAGGACTTTACTTTACTCTACTGAAAGAAGTCTCTTATGCTCACCAAGTCTGCATGTATATGATCAAAATAGAGTAAATCCAGTAATAATTTATCCCTGTCATGACAAAGCTGAATTTTCAGCAGCCATTACTACAGTCTTCAGTGTATGCTTTTTATGAAATAATAATTATTATTATCAAACATTTTGTCCATGATTGCTTGATGAATATAACACTCAAAAGAAAAGCATTTATTTGAAATATAAATATTTTGAAACATAAATACAAAGCTCTGTCATGAAACTGTAGATGATAGGTCCTTCACTCAACCTGCTTGCAATCACATCATTATATATAGGGCACTGCTGATTGGTTCCTGCTGTATCAGTAACCAATGAGCTTGAGTGCTCAACCTTCAAATACTTGGTCAGCGTTTGCTATAGCATTTGCAGCATGCTTTCAGAAACCTCCATCTTCCCTAGCTCCACTTGTATAGATCTGCTATGCCTTCAACTTAAAAGGTGAAACTAATATATTATATGGACTCATGACATGCAAAGTGAGATATTTCATGGGTAATTCATGTATGCAATGTTGTACAGCAGCAGCATGTCTTACTTGCAGAATAGCAGATCTGGCGGAATAGCAAATCTATTCCGCCAAGACCAAATATATCAACATTGTCATACCTATTACCATGCCAAACAGTCTGAGAGTTTACTGTCACTTTCGATCAATTTGATTATTTGAATAAAATAATTAATCCTTTCCGAATAAAATTATTTGCAAAGGTGTTTAATATCATTGACCACACATCACACCAGGTGTGGGAGACTTTGGGCACTCATTATTAAGGGCCTGTTTTGTATTTTGGTAACCTTCCCAGAAAACTGTAAGTTGTTACAACAGCAAAGGGAGGACCAACTCCATATTGATGCCCATGATTTTGAAATGAAATAATCAGTAATCACTGGCTATGGTCCACATACTTTTGGCCATATAGTGTTGTTGTCTATATTGAGATGAGGAGGGGACCAAGTACTGAACCATGAGGTACCCCTCAAATTGATGTGACTCAGACAACCCTCCTCTTTAAAAAATATTTCATACTACTCTTTGTGTTAAATGCTGTTCTTCTTTATGTAATTAGGTTTATTCTCTGAGTTAAAGATATTTTGTCTCTGAAATGATTGGCATGAATTTTTCCTCATGTCTCTGCTGAAGTCTGGAATGCCCTAATTTCTGTTTGCTTGCTTAACTTGGACTCTTGATCATGGGATTGTTGTAGAGGAAACATTAGATTGAATGTAGATGCTGTATATCTGTACTTTTAAATCATTCTGTTTGATTGCACACATTTGTGTTCTCACCTGTGTGAGCGATGTGTTTGTCTTGTGTTTCCTGTGTGCACTGTCTTTGTTTTTCCTGCACTAACATACTTTCTCTCTCTGTCTCTCTTTCCTCACATTGTCTCTTTTTTGGACTCCTTTTTCCCCATTTCATTCTTTCCCCCTCCTGACACTGTGACTGTCTGCGTCTGATTGTGGGGGCACTGCATCCTTCCTCCCCATCTTTTCATTCCTCTACAGGACGGAGGTATAGCATAATGTGCCCTCTCAATAATGACTCGGTCCTATCTGCAGGCTATCAAATCGATACACCAGACAACCTTGGGAGGACATGTCTACATGCCGCGGCTGCGGGCGGGTGAGTCTGTCTGTCTTGCAGACAGCTCTGTTAAATGTGGAATAAAATACATGTCTAATAAGATGTGATCAGGTGTTGTGCTGGTGTTAGCTAAGTTTAATTTTCAAAAACATTTCAAAAATGCAAAAAAAATAGGAAAAAACGATCTCCTATAAAATCTGACAAAGATTATATAATAAACTTAGCTTAGCTGAAATTAAAAACTGTGCATACACATTGTAGAGCTATACAAATAGGTAGAGTCTTAGCCAATAATGTGACTGAACCTTTTAACTGAAAGGCGGAACATCTTTTGCTACAGCTACCATATTGAGCATTGCTATTTCTCCCTTTTGTTTTTCTACAAGAGGTCTGTCTAGTTCCTTATTCTGTTTCTGATTGGACCTTTTGTAACTGCAATTATGTTATGGTGAATGTGATACAAAATGTAGAAGTCATTACGTTATATATATCCAAAAACAATACCTAAAAATGCATGAATACAATATCAAAATCAATTATTACCCCGTTATCCATTGTTCAGAACTTCAGACAAATAGCAGTATTGTTTGACCTGTTGTGTGTCTGTATACCAGCTCATGGCTAAATTCTCTCTCTCTCTCTCTCTCTCTCTCTCTCTCTCTCTCTCTCTCTCTCTCTCTCTCTCAGTAATGTGGAATGTGTGAAGCTACTACTTAGCAGTGGAGCTGATCATAACCACAGGGACAAACATGGAAGGTGAGTTATGGGTAAATATGAGACATGTACATCAGGATAATTGCTCATTCACTTTTCATGCCTGTGTTCACTTCAGCTGCAGTTTTTAAAAATGTCGGCTTAATGGAAAACTGTTGAGTAGTAAGCGCTAAATTTAACTCAAATCTCAAGTTTTGTCGTAGACATTTTCTGATTGTACAACTATCGCTGCACACATTAAATTATATCATTCCTTTTGTACAAATGTTTTGTACTCTAAACTTTTAGATCATACTTACATTTTGTCAACTTTATTTTACCTCTTTCTTTTGCTATGGCTGTTGACAGGACCCCTCTCCACTATGCGGCAGCTAGTCGACACTTTCAGTGCTTGGAGACTCTGGTGTCCTGTGGTACCTGCATTAATGCCACTGACCATTGGGGGCGCTCTGCTGTGCACTACGCTGCTGCTTCTGATCTGGACAGGAGGTATACACATTTACACAAACAGCCACATCTGTGATTTCCTCCTTCAAAATTCAGTTAAAAAATGGATTTGTCGCTGAGTTTGTAAAAATAAACAAATATTGCATTTTCAGTAATAGACTTATAATGGAGCTCTTTGGGGCCTGATATTCTGAAATGTTTGAATGCAAAAAACATGCAGCTCATCAGTCTAAATCATCCTTCACCCTAATCATAGTTTGTACTTGGGTGTTCTTGGGGGTCAAAACATCCCCACATGGTTTTTTTTACAGTGCACAAATGGAGCTAGTTGTGGCCAAACAACATGTAATTGATTGATATAGATGCATGTCTAACACAATTAAATGATGTAGAAGACACCAGCAGCTGTAGTCCAACAGTGGGTGAAATCGAGTGCACTGCCAGTCCCCACCCATATAGACTGCTTGCAGCTACAGTAACGCATATATCTATGTTACCATGGCAACCACAGGCTATTTTTAAGTCTCATGTCATTGGGATAGTTTATGTGCCGAGACAGGTGTTCAGCGTCAAGTTACGGAAACACCTTTGTGCTTAATTTAATTAGATTAGCTGCCAGATTTCACTGGCACAAATTGTAAATGAGTAATGAGTCGGTAACTGTAGTTTCTGTCATTGTACCATAGATACATTTTAATTAATACAGTTTATTTTTGGTAACACTTTATTTTACAGTGTCCTTATTACACACGTTACATGTAGTTATTACTACTCAGTGATTAAATGTATAATTACACTGTAACACAGTATAACCTTGTTTTTTTATACAAAGATACCCCAGTTTATTTTATTATCTCTTCTTTTTTGTCTTAAGCTGATCACATGCCTGATCATGAAAATGATTCGATTTATTGTTGAAGGAGAAGTGACCTTGTGTACATGTTTTCTCTGAAGGCGGCGTGTGGTCCTGGAACCAGAGAGTGACGGTGTTCAAGCTGAGAGGGAGAAGGAGGCAGCTCTGTGAGTTCTCTGGTCCATGTGTGCTCAGCCTCATTTATACGTGTGCTGCTCTGATGCAAAAACACTGGGTGTTTGTGTCTGTGTGCTTCTGTTACCTCATCATTTTACTGTCTGGGACAACCTTAATGTGCTTTTCCTCTCTCAGCTTCCACAGTAGAGCACATACATAATTATACTTTATCCTATGCATATATATACAGTATATATACAATGTACACACATAAATGCATACGGTTGCCTCACCTCCGCGGAGTGCGTACAAAATGTTTAATGCATTGCTAGCTGTGTATTACCTCACTTCTACCATGGTCATTTTCCAGCATTGACAACTGTTATTGATGTTTGCAGCGCAATATTTGACCAGAAGGGTAAAAATGACAATTATTTTCGTCAGTTACGGCTCATTAGATCTAGCATTCTGCCCGCTTTGAATCAGTCACAGAGATAAAGTGGTCCGTAAGATTACATTTATATCAATGAATGATTTATAGCGATTATTTGAAATAATTATTGAGAGAGAGATGCGTGTGTGAATTACCTGTCTGTTCAGCGTCTCTCTCTATTAACAACGAAGCTGTGAGTTTAACTACTTCAAAACCAGCAATGTAACCCCTCGATGCTGAGAAATATTAAGTAGCAATTCAGTAGCCAAGCTATTTTATTAATAAAAGTTGCGGGGCAGCGTTGATAAATTTCTGTGCTCCTGAAAGTTTCTGTGTGCGCACGGCGCTGTCTCCAAGTGATGCATGTGTTTGTGTGCTTATATGAAAACGGCGCAAATGATGTGTGCGACTGTGTGTGTGTGTGCTTCAATGAAAACAGCGCAATAATATTGAACGGTAATTAAACCATGGTATACTGTATATGGAAGCAATAAGGTACAAGAGGCTGTGATTTATGGTGAATAAGTCATGGCTAAAGGATGTTTTTATTTATTTATATATATATATATATAATACATACACACACACACACACACACACACACTTATATATAGACAAATGTATGTATGTATGTGTATGTTGTTTGTTACACTAGTTTGTTAAATATATATTTATATTTGTGTGTAGGTGTCTTGAGTTCCTGTTGCAGCACGGTGCCGCCCCGTCACTTAAAGATAAGCAAGGCTACAGTGCCGTTCACTACGCTGCAGCGTACGGCCACAGACACTGTCTGAAACTGGTAAGGACACAAACATTTCCAGTGTGTGCCTCAGGGCACTTCCTCCATCTCAACAACATTAGATTTAAATGTGTAACATGCAAATTAATTAAGTCCAGTTTGTGGTTTCATTGTTTGTAGTAAAATGATATGCGTGTTAATGCCTGCAATTTGTTTAACTTGTCAGTGCAAGAATGAATGTGGTCCTGTTAAATTTAGATTCGTTTTTTAATTAAGTTTAATGAGAACAGCTGTAATTCAGACTTTTCAAATTTGATTTCAGCTTTTGGACAGAGATGAGAACCATCCAGATGAGATGGAGAACAGCCAAACCAGAAGTCCACTGCATCTGGCTGTAAGTCCCAACACCTTTTCACTTTTCACTTACACTACCGTTCACAAGAACAGCATTTATTGGAAAAAAAATAACAACATTTTTTAATGCAATTTAATGCATCCTTGCTGAATAAAAATATACATTTCTTTTCATTTTTTTTTAAAAACTCTTACTGACCCCAAACGTTTGAATGGTAGTGTACACACATTTCTTAGGACAGTTCACATTACCTCCAATTTATTGTAAATGAAGCTGATTAAGCAGTGTTATATATACCCAAAAACAATACCTAAAAATGCATGAATACAATATCAAAACTAATTGTTACCTCGTTGTCCATTGTTCAGACAAATAGCAGTATTGTTTGACCTGTTGTGTGTCTGCATACCAGCTCATGGCTAAATTCTCTCTCTCTCTCTCTCTCTCTCTCTCTCTCTCTCTCTCTCTAAAACAAGCATCTCAATGGCGATCGTTCATAGTGTTATTGATTTAAAGAAGCCCATCTGACCACCTAGTAGATTCCAAGAACATCCACATAGCAACATGCTAAAAACAAAACACCTTAATAATGGCATCCCAGCTGACAGGGAATGTTCTCAGAACTTTGGCTTACGTTCTACCAAGGTTCTCTCAAAGTTATGGACAAACATTATTCCAGTAACATTAAAAAACTTTAAAAACATTTTTTACTACTTGTTTCAGAATGCTTACAGAATGTTCCCATATTTTTTGCAAAATGATAAAATGAAATGTTCCCTTAACATTCGAAAACATTTAAAAAACTTGATGTTTTAAACGTTCAAAGAACATTCAGAAATACCTTTTTCAAATAGGAACGTTAGCTAAATGTTTTTAGAACATATTTTTGTTTGCTGAGATAGCAATAAGACGCCAATATTTGTTGGTGACAATTTCAGACAGTTAATCTTACACCTTGACAAGTGCATATGTCTGTGTCCAGGCATACCATGGTCACGCACAGGCTCTAGATGTGCTCTTGGAGGGTCACTGCGAGGTGGATCAGGGGGATGAGGTGGGTCGGACTCCATTGGCCCTTGCTGCCCTCAGGGGCCACAACGACTGCGCTCTCACACTTCTGAACCACGGGGCCTCGCCGAGAAGCAGAGATACTACACGAGAACGTACACCCATCCACCTTGCAGGTATTGCACCTATGTGTGGTGGAAATTACATAATTGTGCAATTTTTTTTAATTTTTTTTTAATTTAAATACACTGTGATTCTTTCCAGTAATGAATGGTCATACATCATGTGTGCGTCTCCTGCTGGAAGACTCTGATAATGCAGATCTGGTTGACACAGCGGACTCTCAGGGACAGTGAGTGATTTGTTTATTAAAGGTCCCCTGACATGGGGTTATTTTATTTTTTTATAATGTTTCCTGGGTTGCCCTTATAATGTTAGTATGTTTTTTAGATCAAAAATAGTCATAATTTAGAAATAAAAGGCAATTTTCCTAGCCTGATTTTAGCCTCTGATTTGAACGCTCTGTTTGAAGGGGCGTGTCTGCTGTGGGATTCAGTGTAGCCGGCCACTGCTGTGATTGGCTGACATGCTTGCATATGAAATAGCTATGTATTTATTACATGCGAAACTTTCTAGAATACTTTTACTACAGCTATTATACGTTTTTACTATTACAGCTATCGAGATTAACGAATCGTGAGAAGTTTTTAAAGGGGGGGTGAAATGCTGTTTCATGCATAGTGAGTTTTTTACACTGTTAAAGAGTTGGATTCCCATGCTAAACATGGACAAAGTTTCAAAAATGAAGTTGTAAGTTTGATGGAGTAATTCTGTTCCAAAAATACTCCTTCCGGGTTGTCACAAGTTTCGGAAAGTTTTTTTCGAATACGGGCGTGTGTGACGTCAGAGTGGCCGGAATTTCCTTATACGGGTCTTAAGGGCACTTCTCCCGGAAGGGCGCGCGCATCTGTAGCCTAGTGCGTGCGAGAGTACGCCTATGCCCATCAGAGCGCTGGGCTCGGTCGGCTGCGCTGCAATTAAAAAAATGGCACCAAAAAAGTGTGTTTTTGGTTGCCAGGGCAAGACAACACTGCACAAATTTCCAAAGAACCCAGCGTTAAGGGACCAGTGGATGGATTTTGTTTTTCCAGAGCAGCAACGGAGTTGTGCAAGTGTTTTTGTTTGTTCCCTTTATTTCGACGGTAATAGTTTTATAAACAAGGCCCAGTTCAACGCCGGATTTGCAGATCGCCTAATACTTAAAGATGGAGCAGTCCCAACGATAAAGGTTCACGGTCGTGCGTTGGAACCGCAGGCGGTGAGTAAAACTGCTTCAAATGTCTGTGAGTTGTTAACTATCGGCGTGTAAGCACAGCAAGTAAACAACATGATCACATACAGTTAATGTATATCTATGGAGCATGCGATGTATGGTGTGTGTGTTTAAATACATTTGTTTAGCTGGCCACTGTAGGTGTCAGTTTGTTTATTGTAAAAATAAATCATGTCCTCATAAACCACGAGTCTGTCTGTTTACAACACACAAATGTTATAAAACTAGCGCATGACATGGTGTTCTAAAAACACTGCGCTCAAGTTCAAATCATTTCTATTTTTTTAAAAAACGCTCGAGACCTTATGGTTTTCACCCATGCATTTCACTGCCCATCTCACGTTTTTGTGAGCAAAAACGCGTTCTGTATGAACGAGCCCTTAGTATTGTTTAGATCCTTGTTCTGCATGGGATTACTATCTGATTGTTAGCCATGGTTTATTTTCGGATGTCACTCACAGCTTCCAGACGCTCTCAACGCAAAAGCTTCGCGCGCTCGTGTCGTGATTATTTAGCTCCGCCCACACGGCACGCCTCCACCCGCTCGGGTTTTTCCGGAAAGACTCGGTACAGCCTATCTTTCTTTTATAAATATAATAAAACTAAAGACTTTTTGGAGATATGAAGGATGCAATACTACTCTATAGGTACTCAAGATTAACATGAGATTGAGTGAAACTGAGTGTTTCACCCCCCCTTTAAAGTATTTAGATCTATTCCCATCACATAAAATGTTGCCGTGATGAGCATTGAGCAAGCAGATGACAGTCTGTTGATCGCGAGAATGAAGATCTTATCTTTGCAACGCAGTTTCTGCACTCTCTCTAATGCTTTCCCCAATGCAAACACGATGATGTACATTCAGTAAGAGCTTCGTTGTGCAGTGTAACGTGCGTCATTGATTTCATAACGAGTTGTCCAGATAAACTCGCGCTGTGTGGAAAGATTGTTCTTTGATCGCTTTCTGTATAATTTGTTCAGAATTTAAATAAGATTATTTTCATCCTACTAAAAGAAACGATGTGAAGTTGATATTTTAGTCACTGGCTTGACTTACTGATGCATAAACAGTATTGAATGATTTTGAGAGAAAGATTAACTTACCTGTCTGAACTTGAACAATTAGGCTACACATCAGAAATTGTTGCTTGGTAGCTCGATCGATTTATTTTCAGACGTTCATCGAGTTGAGGAAACAGTCGTCGGTGAAAAGTTTGGACCATAGAAAACTTTGGGAAGTTGTGTCGGCGCATTTCCAGAGAAAATAAAATTAACCCATTGTTTCTTCAGAGGCTCGGATAAAGGAACTAAAAAATACTTTTGTGTTCATTTGTACATCCAAACACTGATCAACTGCAATGCTTCGCTCGTTTGCAAGCCATGATATCTCTCGAGGAAAAACTCAAATCTCAAAGCTATTTCTCTAGGAAAAACTAAAATCGCGCCGGCGCGTTCGTACTTCCTATTCCTAGCTCGTTTTCTCATGGGCGAGCCAAATTCTCCGGGCGGGCAAAGCAGAGAAAGGGGAGGTAACCTTTCCTCGTTATGACGTCATAACGAGGAGATTCAAGATCAGCGCGTCTGAGCTGCAGAGAAGAGAAAAATAGCCAAAGCTCGGTTTACACCGATTGAAAATTCTAGACACGAGGGGACCAAATACAGGCTAGGGGAACTAATATTAATGTTTAAAAACCTCAGAAAGTGAAAATTTCATGTCGGGGGACCTTTAACTATTTTGGAGTGGAATGAGTGTGTCATGTCCTGTTACACCTCAACAGTGTTAAGCTAAAGTAGTAGCACTTTAACTTACTAACTATAATTAGTTTTTTTTTTAATTACTATGCATCTATTAAATTCATTAAAAACAACATAACTATTTTTGCCAACAAAAAACTTCAACACACTACATACTAACACTAGTAATAAAGTGAATCAACTCACTAATTTATAGACCGTAACTAAATCAACAGTTATAAACAGCTGTATTTTAACAAAATATTAATTTGGCCTAAATTAAGGTAGAAAAATGTGCCTAAGAACTTATGGAAATACTATTGATTGATTGAAGTGATGTTTAATTGAAATCAAAGTGCACTGGAGAGAGACACATTGTTGCGCTTGAGATTGGATTAATGAGTATTCCTACTGTGTGTATTTGCAGGACCCCTCTAATGCTGGCAGTAATGGGGGGTCATGTGGACGCTGTGTCTCTTCTGTTGGAGCGTGAGGCCACTGTAGACATGGCTGATCATCAGGGTCTGACTGCTCTACACCTGGGGGTGAGTTTCCTGATCTTGTCAACTGTATTGAAGTCCAAGATATGCAAGGACTTGTACTTGATTTTGGTGTTGATAGTAATGCTAATAAAATACTAAATCTACAGTAAATGTATACTAACATTTAGAGCAGTGGCCTAATGGTGGATGCACAAACTCCAGACATATTGATTCCTTGCAATTTATACACACTGCCGTTCAAAAGTTTGTGGTCGTGAGATTTAAAAAAAAAAAGTGCTCACCAATGCTACATTTATTTGATCAAAAATAAAGTAATATTGTAAAACTGTATTCCAATTTAAAATAACAGGTTTGCATTTTTTTTTAAATGTAACTTATTCCTATGATGGCAAAGCTGTTTTTTAGCAGCCATTACTCCAGTCTTCAGTGTCACATGATCCTTCAGATATCATTTTAATATGGTGTTAAAATAGTGATGGTGAATAAATAAAATGATGATAGTGAATAAAATGTTTTTTGTGCTGCTGAATATTTTTTACATATTAATATGTGATAACTTTTTTTTCCAGGATACCTCAATGAATAGAAAGAATAGCATTTACAATAGAAATCTTTTGTAACATTGTAAATGCCTTTACTGTCACTTTTGATCAATTTAATGCATCCTATCTGAATAAAAGTATTAATAATAATAATAATAAAAATCATACTTACATAGTTAGCAGGAAGAACAAAGTTGATTAATACAGACACTTTAGCATATCTTAAGATGTACTCTTATTTGGTTGTCATGACTTATGAGTTATTTTATTCATTAATTAATTCTCTCTCTCTCTCTCTCTCTCTCTCTCTCTCTCTCTCTCTCTCTCTCTCTCTCTCTCTCTCTCTCTCTCTCTCTCTCTCTCTCTCTCTCTCTCTCTCTCTCTCTCTCTCTCTCTCTCTCTCTCTCAGCTCTTGTGTGGACAGGAGGAATGTGTTCAGTCCCTGTTGGAGCTGGAGGCATCAGTGGTACTGGGGGACTCCAGGGGTCGGACAGCCATCCACATGGCTGCAGCGAGAGGTCACGCATCCTGGTTGAGCGAATTGCTCAATATCGCATGTTCTGAACCCCCAATCCCCCCATTGCGAGACAACCAGGGATACACACCCTTGCACTGGGCCTGTTACTATGGTTAGTTTTAACAGTCTCCATTTATGAGTTTAACAATATGCTATTAATTATGAGTAAACAGAATGCAATTTTTGAAGTATGGTGGACTAGCATTGTCTGTGTTATAGGTCACGAAGGCTGTGTGGAGGTCATACTCGAACAAAAAGACTTTCGTCAGTTTGATGGGAACCCCTTCACTCCGCTGCATTGTGCTGTGTATGTCTGCTGTGAGATTGTCTTCATCTCTGTCATCTGTTGCACTTTTCTTGTCTGTTTCAACTTGTCTGTCTCTGAATCATCTGCCTTACAGGGTCAATGACCATGAGACTTGTGCCACCCTTTTATTAGAAGCCATGGGATCAAAGATTGTAACTTGCAAAGACTCCAAGGGCAGGTTAGTAACAGTCCTATGCTAGAGATAATAGAATATAATAGAATTGTACCTACAGTGGCTCCAAAATTTGAACAAATATAATAAACATGAGCCAGTGGAAATTATTTTAAAGAAGAACTGTTGTCTCGATTTATCAGGACACCTCTCCATGCTGCTGCATTTGCTGGGCACATTGACTGTGTTCAGCTGCTCCTGGCCCACAATGCATCTGTGGATGATGTTGACCAATCAGGGCACAGTGCACTGATTATGGCAGCAGAGAAAGGAAGAGTTGAGGTTGTAGGTATGTATTCTTCACCATGTTTTTCTTCTCCTCTTTTGCATTATGCCTCTGTTCATTTGTATAAAAGGGTTATGAAAATGAGCTCACTTATGCAAAGTGTGGCGTGTGTTTTAAATAGAAGCTCTGCTTACTGGTGCCAATGTGAATCTCAGTCTGACTGACCAGAAGGGCAATACAGCACTTCATCTAGCCTGCAGTAATGTAAGTAAAGCCAGTTGCATGCCAGGTTCATCAGTCCCTATAATTTTATAGTTTACGCTATCGTTTCAGCAGTGGTGCAGTGATCTTTCAGTCACTTCATCATAATATGACATAAATCATATCAAATCCCAGGCCTGGCATTATTGGTTTCATTATATGGCTGTGTCATTCTCAGGAAATGGTCCCATTTGTGAAAATTTATCTTCAGCTTTATTTGATGTTAAAATCATATTTTAGCATTGTTAACTAAGTGGTGCCATTTTTTAATGCAACTTTTACTATAGATTTTTCATGGAAAAAAAAATGTATATTCACATCAAACATAAAAAAACCTAATATTTTCATATGATCTACTCACTCCAAAATCATATTTAATTTGTATTTAACAATTTAGCCTTCTTAAAAACAGGATTTTTTTTTTAATTTGTAATGCATGTATGACTGTTCTCATGGGGTTTCCAGTAATATTACTAATATGTATTATTACTATGAAACAAAACGTTATGCCAGATATGAATACAAACATTGCAAACAGTATTTTTGAATGTTTTTATTAATCCATTACCCGATGTCTTCTAAAGATGATTTTTCTGTTCTGTCTGCTTTTTTCCAGGGAATGGAGGAATGTGCATTGCTCATTCTTGGAAAAATTCCAGAATCTGCTCTCGTTGCTACAAACGCTGCACTGCAAACGTGAGTTCCCTTCCACATTATATTACATATTATGTTTACATTTATGCATTTGGTAGATGCTTTTATCCAAAGTTTTATCCGACTTACATTGCGTTGTTGGGAATCCCTGGGAATCGAACCTGTGACCTTGACGTTGCTAGCACCATGCTCTTATATATTAATAAATAAGCAATTGATCCTCACTTGTTTCTCGCTCACTTGTTTCTCATTCACTCTCTCAGACCTCTCCATTTGGCTGCTCGCAGCGGGATGAAGCAGACAGTGCAAGAGCTGCTCTCTCGTGGGGCCAGCGTTCAAGTACTAGATGAGAATGGTGCGTCTGAAATCTCAGCAGATTTTGTTCACGCGTAGATTGTCAGTGTATGTGCATCTGTCTATGCCAGTCTTCTTTTATTAGTGCCATAGAAGCTTTTGCCAAAGCAGTGGCTGTGTTTCAAAGCTTTGACGGTGTCATGCGTGTCTCCTTTTGCCCCCCAACCATGTGTTTGGCTTCCTGACTAGTGAGGCACTAATGGAATGCTGCTTTCGTCCATCACCTCCCCACCACTGTCCTTTTGTTCCACTGCTCCGTCCCTCCCTTCACCTCTTTCTGCTATCCTGTCTCTCTCGCTCTTTGGCTGTCTTTCCACGCAGGTCTCACCCCTGCTCTGGCTTGCGCTCCCAGCAGGGAAGTGGCTGACTGCCTGGCTCTCATTCTGGCTACCATGATGCCTTTCTGCTCCCCTTGCAGCTCTGGAACTCCTTCCCCAGGTGCCCTGCTGAAATGTCTGCCCCGCCAGGCCAAGAGTCCCCAAGGCCCCCGCAGTCCAAGGGACCCCTCCGGTCCCTCCAGCGAGGGCACGACCACTGAAAACGACTCGGACTCAGAGACATTTTGACCCCGGCTCCTTCTAGAGGCGCCCGTCATAGTTTTCAAAGCACATATTGTCATGAACCTTACAGAATTTGTACAGATGTTTGATTATGGAGCGCAGCCTCAATAACAAGAGATTATGAAACATGACATAGCACACTTGGTACGCTTTTGTTTTGCCACACTTGTTTGCACAGGAGATTTTTTTCGAAAGCCATTTTAATCACTTTAACACAGGATGATTGAGAACGCCAAATGTTGACCGACTTCTCACGCTTGAAGTACGATAATTTATAGTGTGGCGTGTTCTGTCTTAATCTGTGGACTTTTGAAAGCACAAACCCTGCACAAGGTGAGGTCAGTCATTTCACTCCTGTTGTCACTGTGGGACCAATCAGGAACCAAGAAATCACATTTTGGGAACAACAGGGGAATTGCCATCACTGCATCAAAGTCACTTAGTATTTATTTGTAAGAGCAAAGGCTGGAATACACGACATGACTTTGGCACAGATTTTTGCTGATTTAAGTCTGGACAATTTGTCAAAAGTCAGAGCCAGTCTGAAGATTTGACTTCACAGATAATCACATTGTATATGATGGGCACAGACAACTGACTTTATTGAGACACAGACAAACAGACATGCTAATAAACAATATATCACTACTGTTTTACTATAGTTGATGCGCTGAGCAGCCATATTGGATTCTGAAGTCAGGGTTTTGTTGCGGTTTCCCCGAGTTTCCCATTTCCAACTCTGACCTGAGGGGGCGTTCCAGTTAAAAGTTCCACTTAAATGGAATGCACCATAAGATTCCATCCAGTCTGACAATATCAAACATGTTTGATATTTTGAACCGATTTTACAGCACATTGTTTTCATTTGTCATGCATCTACCAACAAAGGTGCATGTTTCTTTACGAGTTTATTGTGTTCGGAGTGACTAGTCTACGAACCTACGAAGTCTGCAAAGCGCATGACACCGCATGTTTTAAAATCTGTTTAGATTTGAAAAGTTGTGTAGTGTATTCCAGCCTTTTGACTGTAAGTCCATAAAACCCATTGTAATGTGATGAAAATCCAATGCAAGTTCTCCATTGTCCAGATCGTACACCAGTTGTACTTTACACATTGAATTTGACACATTGTGAATAGAAGGCTCTTGAGATTTATATTGTAAAGAAGAGCATTCTTATGCTATAGATATAAGTACATTTCTAGGCCTTGATGGTCTAAACTTAAGTCTGCCGCTTTTGGAGAGTGACGCTTTGTCACTCTGTTCCTTCTCAGACATAGAGACAGTGTTAAAAAAATACTTCTATTCAGGTTGAATTTTAGATTCTAGTCAGAGGACATGGCATGTTATGTGAACCAGGATGTTTTCAAGCCTGTACCAATATTTATTTACATTAAGATAACAATGGTACTACAATTGTATGCACTTATGTATAGCAGTAAATGGGTGTTTAAAGGAATAGTTCATCCCTAAATAAAAATTCTGTCATTATTTACTCATGTTGTTAAAAACCTAAATGTGGCTCTTTCCATACATCAGCAGTTCATGGTGACCAATGTCTGTCAAGCTCCAAAAATGACAGAAATACCTCCAAAAAGAACTATGTACTGTATTCCAAGACTTCTGAAGTCAAATGAAAGCTTTGTCTGAGAAAGAGGATGAAATTTAAGCTGTTAACCACTGAAAATCTTCCTCTTCAGTGAGCTGTTGGTACTGGATCATTGCGTTTGTGAATTGAACTCCAGAACTTAATCATGAAAACAAATCATTAGTTTGTTTTGTGAATCAAATCAACCAATTCATTGAAAAGAACCAGTTCAAAAGAATGATTTGTTCACTAATTTGACTTATCCAGTGAACTCACTGATAAAGTCACAACAGTTATCAGTGAATAATGACTTAAATTTCAGTCTCTTCCTCTCTCAAAATGATTGTAGGGCTTTAGAAGACCTCACCTTTTGTGCTCCATGAACAGAAAAATAACACCCGGTGTTGGAGTGACATGAGTGGGAGTAAATAATGACAGAAATTGCATTCTGGGGTTAACTATTAATTTAACATTGAATCCAGATCTATGAGTAACCTACCCTGTCTTCTTTTTTCTTTCCTTTCTTTTGCACTGGTTGAATATTAATCCTTTTAAAACAGATTTCTAACATTTTTTTTGGGGGGGGGGGGGTGGGGGGGGGTGGGGTGGGGTGGGGTGGGGGGGGGGGGGTGGGGTGGGGTGGGGGGGGGGTGGGGGTGGGGGTTGGGGGATCTCAGCAAGAGTGTTTATTTGCTTTCAAATTTGAATCCATTTTGCTTCAAAAGATAAAGAGCTTTTAGTGTAGATGGTGTTTTAAAATCTTGCTGGTCAGAAACTTTCCAGAAAATTCTAAATGAAAATGTAAACCACTGTTTATCTGTTTGCCTTTGTCCACAATGTGCCAGTTTCTCGGTGTCCAGTGCCTTGTTCTGCATTTTCAGAGTTTGTTAGATTAGATATGTGTGCATTTGTGTGTATGTATTAGAGTGTAATGAAAGAGTCTGAAGATGTGAAGATAAGTCTGGGACACACCTGCCAATAGTAAGCCAATGTTTTTCTACCAAGTCCTGATGTTTGTGCCTACGAGTGTCTGATTTACAGTAGGAGATAGTCTTTGTACATATCAGATCATGCACATTATCATCACCAGAGCAAAAATTGCACACAACTGTCTTATTACAAAAGCACATGGTTGATTTTCTTTTCATAAATTAGATGGATTATGATTGCAAGGATGCAGAGGAATGGAGTCAAACAGTATTATAACAGAAAAAAAAAGCTTTGAAATGTATGACAATCTAGATCGTGGTTTCCCCCATTCTGATTTTGAAGGTTCTTTGTCAGCTCAAGTTTTTTATATATATATATATATAAATTGTATGACTATTATATAAAATGTTTTAACAGAGTTTTGTGGTCTTTTTTTTTTATCCATGAATATTAATACAGTTTCATATTGTAGTTTTTCGGCATGAACACTAGTTTTAACAGTAGGCCTACTGTTACAGTTTAAAGTATCAGATCAAAAGATCCATCAAAAACATAATAGGCTCTAATTAAATATTGCATGAAGCATAAAAATTAGACAATCGGATTCTTAGCAGGTAAGTTCTAATGTGACTGTTTTGGGGGGTGGGATCTGAGCCGTTCTTTCTTGTCAAGTCACCTGTTCACCTGTGTCCATAGTGAATTCTTTAAATATTTTTTTTTTTTTCGTCAAAACAAGGGAAAACAAGATTTGAGATAAGGTACCAGTTAATGGTTTAAAGGGGGGGAAATACAATTTACATTTTTTGAATAAAATGCTAATGCAGCAAATGGAAGGGTCAGTCATAATTCGGTGAGCTAATATGGCGCAAACTTCATGAGATGGGGATGGTCCTTATAATTGCAGAACACGAGATTTTTAGGGGGCGAGGTTCGATATATCCAACTCCTCCCAGTTTATATACTTTGCTCCACCAGATACTCCAACCAGCATATTGTGGAGTTGCAGCCCGCAATTTTAAGCTGCAACATTTGAGTTCGTTGTGTGCACGATGTAGTGCAGTGCACTGTGAAAGGATGAATGAGTGATTCATCGTTTAATTCTATGGGTAAGTTCTAGGGGTGAGGTAAGTCTACCTCTGAATGATTTCTAGGGGACAACGATACCATCATGTGACGATTCGATACATATCACGGTACGATATTATTGCGATACTCGAAGAGATAATGGTAAAAGGTTAACAAAAAATGAACTCTTGATTAAAATGATAATATGCTTGCACTCTTTCACTGACTATATAATGTATAGGCCACTTTTTTTCTGGTAACAAGACATTTGGCACTATCAGGATATCCTCCCATTGCATTATTATACATTATATATAGTAGGCTAATTTAATGTAGTACTGACACTAAAACTCTGTAAATTAGTTTTTTTTTCACACCAGGCAATTTTAATTTGTGGTAAACTACTCAATACAATACATATTGTTTGTCATCCTGACTCATCCATGATACATATTGTTGCATTTTTGTATTGCGATATATTGTTACACCCATAGTATAATATTTAATGTCAAGTGGTTTCCCTCTAATGTTAATGTGTTATTTTTTGTTAGCAATTAGTCAGTGAGACTAATTTTCTATTTCATTGTGCCGGTCATGCATTTTGCATGCATTTATGTAAAGAACAACATGACGTCATTCCGGCGTGGGTCGTGAGCACTGTGATGATTGAACAAATAAAAAACCTGGTATCATCTAATTTTAACATGATTTTTCTAAAAATGATGTATAAATAATCAAGTAAAGCTAAGTTGCTTCTACTGCTTCTTTTGAACACGAGCATTTCTAAAGTCTACTGAAGTTTTCACAGAAATTCAAGTGTGTCTGTAGCTCTTCTGAAGTGTCAGTGGAAGAGGGTCAGAGATGTTTAGGCTCAAGAATTGTTGTTTCATGAAGCCTTCACAGTCATCTCAAACCCCATTAAGACCAGTAATATCAATATATGTGTAGCATAGTGGTTAATAAATACACATGTAGTCAGCGAGCAATGTACAGATATGCTTTACTGAGAAAGTAAATGTGTCATGAACCTATACCTAATTTCTGTCTTATATTTGAGAGAACTTGTATATAAAAAATACTGTACCTCTAATATCTTTTTTTTTTTTTTTAGGTTTGAAGAAACATCTCAGAATCCTCATAGAGGTGCACATCTTGACAGTGACACAAGGCTGACACTTTTATCAGTATTAATAATCTTTAATTATACATCTCTGTACATTTATAAATTTTTACATCGTCCACAGTTCAGATTAATAGGTTATAAACAAACACTACTGCAAATCAGGGTTCAACAAGTTATGCCATTTCAGTTCAGTCTCTTTCGTGGATCTTCAGGAACTGGGTCTTGGCACGTCAGTTTTGGTCAAACTGTGCACAGCATAAAAAGAGGTTCAGTTTTACCTAGCTTCAGACACCAGATAATGAAGGGTTCACCTTTCCATTGAATCACTGCAAAGTACATAAGAGAGCAGCATATCCATTTCCAGCTGTAACGTTCCCTTGCCCATCAGCAGTTGAGCCCAAGACCCGTCCAGTGATCAGGGACCATGAGGAAGTATTTGTCCATGGCCTCACAGAAACGTGATCGGTACAGCTCTGGTGACACCACCGTGGGCATTTTACCTGTCAGGATGGAAAGACCATAACACATGTAAGAGTCTTAGCTTCTACTGAGAATATCAGAGATATGAATTTATTTTAAACAGCATAACGGGTACCTTGACCTCCAAGAATCCCAGTAGATTTGACCACCATCTCCAGCTTTTTATCCCATGTGAAAGTCCGGATATAATCTTCAAATATACAAGAGTTTTAACAACCACTAAAAGAAAAGTCCAAAATGGATTTTACAATAACAACATTTTCTCACCTATGATCCCCACGACTAGCTCATCCGTAGCATCATCACGGCCCACCAGTAAGGAATAATCAATGATGAGGTGGCTGGACAGGAAGTGGGCATCACTGAGGATGGCAGCACGCAGAATGGCCTTGCAGTGGGAGCGAATATAAAGGGGATTGTCATGCACCAGTTTCAGGAGATTCTCATCTAGGAGCACCACCTCACAGCTCTCCTTTCCCTGATCCGTCTTCACGTTCCTGTTCCTCAGGGATCCCTTCAGGTCAAACACCTGCACAAAAACAGTAAAGAGGACCGTAAATGTGAGCATAAAAAGACCCAAATTGTCTGTCACAGTTTTTCTGAAACACCAATGTCAAATCAGTTATAAGCTGCAGATTTAAAGGCTTTTTTCTTTAAATTAATATACCTGTGCCATCTTTCTCCCATAAAAAAGGTTTT